TCATAAAATCTATTAAGTTAACTAGACAAATAGTCGAAACTGCAATGAAGAATCACATGAGAATAAGAATATGCTGTAATCTCCGTTAGGTCACTATAATATTCCAAGCTATATTTATTACAACCCTCCTCTGATGCTTACATAACCAAACTTGCTAGATTTATATTCTCTAATGGCTCCCCAATGGGAAAAACCTGTGTTTCTTATCTTCCTTTTCCTGTCCCAAATCACCCTTCCACATACATTTGCCTGCTTTGGGACCCCCTGTCTGGGTTTCATCAGAAGTTGCAAGACAAAATGTGCATTATTAAGAAATATAAATATTTTCAGAAGCAATCAAAGGGATGAAAGATTGATTCAGCATGTAGATTGGACCTAATTCGAAGCAGCTTTGTTCTAATGAGGGCTACCGGGATACAGAGTCAGGAGCTGTTGTGGCCACCAGTTGGAAATTCCGAAATCGTTAGGATAATCGTCAGGATTTCTCTTGCGAGGTTTGCTGAAATAATTTTTGCAAGGGATATGCTCTAGTGTCTGGGCTGTGCCACCTTCCTTGCCACACTTAGGGATTCGTGGTACTTATCTTTGAGAAATCATGACTAATTTCTTCTCTTTAGAGTTTAGGTCACTGAGTACCTCCCTTTTGCACTAACTGGGAAGTTGGCTTAGCACTAACTTTCATAAGAACATTTTGGCCCGGAGGCATCTGTATTACAATTTCTTTCTTGGCTTAATAAAAGGTATCACATTATCTACCTGGTCAATCTCTATTGGCTTTCAAAATAGAGACATGGAAAAACCTAATAAGCCTCATTAGGATATCTGCTTTAAAAACAACAGGCTGCCTCATTTAGCATGTTGCTTTGAAATGTCCCAGCAGAGCTGGGTGGTCACTGCTTGAATACAGGTATTGCTAATTTGGGATCTTTGTGTCTGGGGTAGCTCTGAAAAAAAAAATCGTAATGTGTAGGTGGAATTTTAATACACAGGGGATCAAACCTGATTGTTGTATTTTGTTTTTGTTTTCCTTCTTTCTTTCCTTTAATCCCACTTTTTGTCCACATGGCCATGTGTGAGAGATGGCTTGATTTTCTTGATATGGTTCAGCCATCCACAGCTGGAATTCCAAAGACTGAAAATGTCTTTAAAATCAACACAACTCAGGGAGCCTCAGAGAACAAGTTTTCCTTTGTTGTAGGGTATAGTATTATTTGCTGTAGGTTTTTTGATATACATTCTAAATTAGGCCTGCAAAGGCATGCTTCATCTTTAATTCATCACTCTCAGCTGAAAGAGATTAGCAATGTCTAGCACGCACCCCTCGTATGGTGCTGACCTCATCAAGTATGGCCTGAAATTAATTAGCCTCATTCATTCCAAATGGAAAAGGATAATGGAGCAGCATTTTAGAGATGACCATCACAAATTGTTTGCAGCATATTTGAAAGACCCCTATTTTCAAACCATGTAGATTAAAATTCTTTCCAGGGCCAGAGTTATCAGGGACTCAAAGCAAAGGCTGGTCAGGTTTCGTGTCTGTACGTTTGTGTGTGCGCATGCGTGTGCGAGTGTGCATGCCTACCCAGTTGTTTATTGTACGAGTGTTAGAGCCTGTGGATGGACGTGTCCGTGTCCGTGTTTAGCTGGCTTTGCTGTCTAGCATGACACCTGGAATACTTGACCAACAAAAATCGGATTTAAAAAAAAATATGGTGTTTAATACTGTTTTAAATGGTCCAGTAATAGAATATGTTAGTGGATCTTTTTTTTGTTACCATGAAGTGGGCATGCCAGCATAAACTTTGCTATTTTCCAGTAAGAGGCTATTCATCCTCTAATTTAGAAACAGAAAAGCCTCTTAAAGAAATGCACAATTTTTCTATTTTGAGTTATTTTTGAAACTTTCTATGACTTTTCCCAGTCTTGATTGTTTGATCGTATTTCAAAACATGATTGAGGAACTAACTTGGATTAGAGAATCACTTAAATTTACCATCTTTCTAAGATTAGCTGATTTTTTCCCCTTTTGGGGATTGACTAAGGGAGGCCAAATTTTTGAATATCAAAACTGCTTTCTTTTCTAGCCAAAAAAATCTTGACCGGGGTTCTTTGGGATTCTCAAAGATGCTGTAAAGTTTATTTTTATGAACAGTCATTTGGGGACTACAGATTAGAAGAAAGGAAAAAAAAAAACATGACATTTTCTGTTTTTAGGTTTTAATTTTTAAAATACTGTAAAATGTGGTCAATTTATGAAAAGGTATTAGTAGTATTTGGGGGAATTTTATCTAATGCACATTTCCTAAGGAAGAAAAAATTAATCCCAGAATAACTTTGTTTAGATAAATTAAGAGGTAGATATTCAAAGTAATGTAACTAGAAAGCTTCCACTTAACTGTTACAGTGAAAAATGCACTTTTAAGCAAATAATCTTTTTAGGGTGCATTGATATATTAATCTCCATATGTAAGTTATTTAAGATTATTTCATCTTATAATAAAAAAGAAACTGGAATCATGTTGTCCCTATCTCTGCAAATGTAGGATTTAGAAATTTCTCTAAGCTCACTTTTGCCTAATTTTCTCATCCCAGAAGGCCCCTTTATCTAATGGGCATATATCATTTAAGTACAAGATCATCAATCACAAACTGTGAACCTATCATTTTGACATAAAAGATCTATCCTTAAATCTCTTCAAACCTCTAGCATATAATTTAAGGAAATTAGCTAGTTTAAAGTCTGGATTTCTGACTTCTGGGGGATGAAATGCAAAAATGAAGAAAGCTTGAATTATACAAATTTGATTTTAAAGTCACAGTTCAACTGAGCCAGTGATAAAAGATGATGCAGTGCAGATCTTGAAATGTTGACAGAAATAGATAATTTTGTTAATTATCATCTGGTCAGTTTGGAATTTCATGGTTAATAAACATAGTATGAAATAAAGACAGATATCTGCAAAAATAGCTTGACTCCTTAAAGCACATTACCCCAAATATATTTTCCTCATAAATTTTTTATTATTAAGACAAAGAAATGGATACGTTGCATAATATTGCTATTTGCTCAAAAACCGAACACTATGTCTCCATTTTTATTTAATTTTTTAAAAAATTTTGACAACTGAGGTGAATATGGCAGGAAAACCGTAAATATAAGGATTAAGGCTTCATGAAATTGGAGTTCATTGAAATGACAAACCCAAAGTAAAACCCAGATGAACTTACCAAATTTCATTTGCTATCCACCTGAAACTATAAATCCTTTTCTGGCATTTGATAGTAGAAAGGAGGTTCACCTAAAATTCAAACCAGGTTTTTCTAAACCTAACCCAGACTCACTAACTTTAGGTAAACTGCAGTTGTGTTATGGCTTCTTACTGAAACTTTCATCCCACTTTAGCTAATAATGAATAGATGATGGGCCAGGAAAGGGAACCAGAAGATGTTTTTGGAGTTGTTTTGGAAGGGAGTTGACATCACAAACCTCCCAGAAGTCTTTGCTGAGCTTCCACTTGGAATACAACATATGTAGGATACCCTAGTGCTAAGGAGATAGAAATAGTGCAATGGAGTTAAAAAAAAAAAAAAAAGATTCATTTATTTATTTGAGAGAGAGTGTGTGGAGGGTGGGGGGAGGCAGAGAGGAAGAGGGACAGAGAGAATCTTAAACAGACTCTGTGCTGAATGTGGAGCCTGACCTGGGGCTCAATCCCACAATCCTGAGATGAAGATCTGAGCCAAAACCAACAGTCTGACACTCAGCTGCCTGAGCCACCCACCCTTGGAGTGGAAATTAAAGAAAAAAAGTAGAATGACACAGTGAGAGATTGGGGAGAAAAGATAAAAAAAAAAAAAAAAAACAAAAAAACAAAAAAACAAAAAAACAAAAAACAAAACTGAATAAGTAAAACTTGGAGAAGCATTAGTTAATGTAGAACTCAACAGGATTCCAGAAGTATTTAGAGAAGTGAAGGCCTAAGGGAACTCGGGTTTTTGTCAATGTCTTGCCAGATCCAGAATGAAAGCTATATTCTCTTGGACTACTGAAGAGATTTCACAGGATTTTGTTCCCTGCCACGTGTATGTTGACTTAAAGATAGGCTGAAAAAAATATGGTTTAAAAACTGCTTTACATAATATATAATGTGGATATATATTGTATTTATAATCTATAATCATAATAACGTGGAATGCTCCATAATCTTTATATTCATATTCTCATTTAATCCCCACGCTGAGTTTGCAAGGTATCTATTATCGTCTGCACTTTATAGATATGGAAACTGAGGCTCAGGGAGATTATGTTGCCCGCCTGGGGTCACACAGCCTGTAGTTCCCTTGAGCGTTCCCAAGCCCAGACTCCTCCCAGAACACCACACTGGCTTCTCTTACACAGCATCCCTAGGACTTTGCCCAGAAAATGATGTCATAAAACAACTGGTTTTCGGCCAAATTCATTATGGTGCGTTACCCTCAAGGAACGTACCGATAAGAACACATTATGCCAGAATGAGACACAGCTCAGCTTCTGAAATCTGGCTGGCATCCTCTAAGAGGTGGCCCTGTCTGCTCAGCTCTTGCAGAAGCTGAGCATGTTAGGTAAACACCCGGATGTCGGCTAGGGTGTGGGAGCAAATGATAGATGAATGAACATTCAAAACCAGAATGGATCTCTCCGAAGCAGGCCCCAAGCCTCCTGTGTTTACAGGCCCCCAAATGAAATCACCTGGCTGTTTATAGGAGTCTTAGTGCTGATGAAAAGACGGTTACACTCCAAACTTTTTCCTGCCAAAGGAAAAAAGTTCCAGGTTCTTTAAAAAGTACCTAAAGCATCTGATCTGAAAAGTGGCAACAGCATTTGGGACCAATTACCCAGATTAAGAGGCAACAATGTTCTGTTTACACTTCGTAGCCAAGAGCCCTTTGGCTCTGGCCCACAGGCTGGGGATTGTAAATTACAGAAATTGCAGCCTAACTTGACTTCTCTTTTGACCTAGGTGTCTGAGTGTAGAGAAAAGCAGATAGAAAAGCCCTATTGCTGTCTGCCCTAAAGCCTCAGTGGATGAGGAACTGAATGTTGTCTTCCAGGTAAGACATTTAACACATGCAATCCCTGCAATGAAAGCAATGGGTTCTTTTCTAACTTGGGGTAGGGTCGGACTATGAATATGATGTGTCAGGAGATGGCTTTTCAGTTTGCTCCTCCTCCAAAATCATTTTTGTGAAACCAGTTACAAAATAAAGGCTCCTTGACATCTTTTGATTACTTAACCATAGCACTCCAGTTTCGCTCCATTTTCCAATATACTGTGGATTAATCAGTAACAAATGGTAGATCATGAAGTTATACCAGGAGAACCCCGCCTTTGAGTGTGGTCAGATGTAGATGGTGGCCAGTATAGCCACTGTGGGGAAAAAAAAAAAAAGCAGCACCATTTGGTCCCAAACTCAGAGGCTGCTAGGGATTTGAATCACTTGGGCTTGAGATGTAGTTTCCTCCCTTTACAAAGGAGGACCAGTCCCCACTTGGCATAACCCTGATAATTCCAGAAGTTTCCGTGAAAATTTTTGTCTTTCTTTTAACATAATCCTGATGTTAAGGGCCTGACCTTGCCAAGGGAAAGGAATCACAAAGGTCAAACAGCAAGGAGGAGACACGTGAGGCACAGGCCTGCCCAACACAGAGGTGGAAAAGACAAGCCATTATTTTACTGATAGGCGGAATCTGTATGTGTTCGAGATTTATGATCTAACCATTCTAATACCACATTTAGACCATCAAATTGGAAATATCCACAGGCAAGGATAGAGGTCTTCTTTTTAAAGTTCTATACATTGGGTAGTCATTTAGATGAAAACATGATTGAGGTGGTGATTGTGGAGTATTATGGGAATCTTGATGTTCAAAGCATTTTTCTGACTCAATAATCCAGTGTCCACTTCAAGGAGGTTGTCTTCTGAGACAACTCATATTTGATGCCACTTCTAGTTCCCTCTAGTACACATTTTTTTCTGAGAAAAACTGATCAACAACCAACAGGGATTTTTCTGACCCTGGTTTATCCCAATAATTTATCATTTTCTGCAGTGTCAGAGCTTCCTGACATATACAATTAACTCACAAATTAACTTAGAAATGATAGTAAGCTCTCAGCTAAATGATCTAGTGGCCACTGGGGACCAGACCAATTTTCTAGAATAAGGTTAGGACTAAGTTGCTCTGGAACAATGCTAAGGTTGGTTGTGTAGAAATAGTTACTTGAGTGTGAGCAGGAATCTAGGTATGAAAGGGAAAGATTTTATCTGCCCCTGATTCCATCAGTTACTCCATCCTGTGATATTTCTTCATCTATAAAACAGGGGTAACTGGTTTTAAAAATATTTCAGAATTCAAGGTTCCATAATGGAATTGAGAAGTCATGGTGTCTTTTCATTAGAAGGGAGCTTGGGGAACACTAGTCCAACTTTTCACTGAGGCCAGAGGTCTGGAGATAGGCACACGACCAGGCTGACACCGATTTAGTAGTTTATAAGAGTTGTAAATTTAAGGCAGGCAGCACAAAGGTGTGAAGGTCTGGGTGAAGGCTGCCAGTTTGGAGAGGGCTAGCCACCTAGAGAGATGGGAAGTCAGGGCTCGCTCACTCTCTCCAAGGCTACTACTTTTGGGAGCTTTGTTTTAAGAAATTTTTGCTCCTTCTATGTGAACAAAAATTTGTGTCTCTGGAACATCTTTTTATTGGGTTGGATGCTGTCCTCAGAAGAAACGCAACTCAACCTCATCCCTCTATCATACGACAGATTTTCAAACACTTGAACATAACTTTTCCTCTCCCCACCACCTCAAAACCACCATTTTGTTTTATTGGGAAAATTCTCCAGTTCCCCATGGGACTGGGACTCAGAGGTTTTTTTTTTTTTGTTGTTGGCCATGGTTTGCCAGATTTTCTTAAGAAATGTCCAGCAACAAATAAAATACTGAGAAATCTCTTGATCAGCGCTGTCCACCACATCATGTGACTGGCTTTAAACATAGCCCTGAATTAGGGGGAGTCAGATTTCAGCCGTGGAGTCAGATCTCAGACATCTAGGGCTTGTACAGGGGATTTATTCCATTTAAGAATGTTTCATGTTATCTCCATTAAATTGCATTTTTAAAAAAGATTCTATTTATTTATCCATGAGAGACAGAGAGAAAGAGAGAGAGAGAGAGAGAGAGAGAGACAGAGACACAGGCAGAGGGAGAAGCAGGCTCCATGCAGAGAGCCTGACTTGGGACTCCATCCTGGGTCTCCAGGATCACGCCCTGGGCTGAAGGCAGCGTTAAACTGCTGAGCCACCTGGGCTGCCCAAATTGCATTTTGATTTGGCTTTTTGGTAGCTTACAGAGTCTGTCTCCCTCATCTTTTGGTAAATGGACAAATGAGTTTCCATAGTGTTCTGGACAGTGGTGCAAGCAGGCAGTATAATCCATGCTATGGTTTCCTAATGCTAACAGATTTTCATTATTATGATAAAGATATTGACTATGGAAAGAGGTCATATATTCAACCTCAGACCATCATCATAGTGGTTATTTTGCTGCTCATTTTTTCTGTGAATGCTCATCAGTGTCACCTGTGTCTTTCTTGATGCTATTCTGTTGTCTCCGTTTAGCATGGAAGGGCAGGAGAATCCCACACTTAAGTCCAGTCTCAATCAAAAAAAAAAAAAAAAAAAAAAGAAAGGATTCTACTTAATTTGCTTGTGCTAAGCTGAGAGGGGACACTGTATTTTTAGCATGAAAGGGAGCTTAACCAAAGAATGCTAGTGTTCCTTAGTCAGATCTTCACGTTGTTTAAACTTTTGCAGATTCCCCAGCGTTGGGCAGACTCATTCAAAGATATGTGCTCAAAGAATTAGATGCTTTAAACATCATCCATGGCATGGAAGTTTCTGCATTTCCCTACCTTTCCATTAACAGCAAAATGTAAGTGCTAGCATCAGGCTAGGTCTTGATTTAAGTGCCTAGCAACATAACTCTCCCCCTCGGTTCAGTCTGGGTATATTAAATCAGGTTCTCCCTGGCCTGAAAATTTAAATCTTTCGGAGATATCTTTTACATGTAATTCCCTTTGAACTTCCACCCATGCTAATTTTAAACACATTTGGTATTTTCCTCCTTCTATATGAATACAGTCGAGCTCAAAGAATGAATTTCACCAGTGTTTTCTCCTTTGTATGTGTTCAATAGGTACCCCTGAAGCAATTACCTACTGGGAGAAGTGGGAGGAGCCACTCTGTGGGAGCAGGGGCCACAAGTAATATGATCCGTGGTTGTTGTGTGTGTAAAGTGCTAATACTTTTGACAGCAGCCATCCTAAAGGGGTGTAGCGAGTCATTTGAAATTTGTACACAGACTGCCCTATCCATTACGCATCACCCATATCATACCCATAATCTCCCAAGGCAGATATGCTATTACACTCAGCGGGCCAAGGTCTGCCTGTGCTTATATACACACAACTCCCACTGACTCTGTGCCACCGAGGCACTTCAATGGGAGTTGTCAGCAGCATAAATTTAGCCCGGTACAGTCACAACCACAGCGGGCGCAGCTAAACAGAGACCTGGCTGTGTGTTTAAAAGGCTGAGGAAGAACAAAAAAACTGCCAGTTTTCATAAGAAATCTTATCCCTAGAGCATTAAGAACTGTAGCCTGACACTTGCCACACTATCCTCATCCTGCAACCTGCCGATTCCAGCCTGGGACTTGGAAGCAGCTAAAACAGAGTGAGTACTTAAAAAAAAAAAAAAAAAGGTCTGCTACAGGGCATCAAACTAAGCTTTGCATCCAATCTTATTAGGCAAGGGAAGAACTCCCCATAGGTGATCCATCTTGGAACCATTGACCCTCTTTAAATATATAGAATATTTAAAATACATACAGCAAGGGTACAAAGATGCCCAGCTTTTGAAAGTTACCAGTCTATCCATTTGAGTCATACAGTGTCACGGGTGTTCTGATATGTAACATACATATTGTCGTGCTAACGTTAGAATCGCTGCAACTTCATGATGCCATCCATCGTGTTGTCCAATATGATTCTCTTTCTTAGGAGCTCTTTCTTGGTCTTTCAGACATTCCCCACATACCTTATGAATGATCAGGTGTCACTGACCTCAAGCATGCAGTAAGTTTCAGCATTTAATTTCTACTCCAAGCCCTTGCCATTGCAAACAACGAAGTCTACCACTCCTAATCATCGGAAATGCTGTGGTTTGGTGAGCAGAGCCTAGGTTTGAATCTTTGCTTCGCGCCACACTAATTGTGTCTTGGGTATGCTGCTTGGTATCTCTAAATCCCAGTTTTCTCATCTGTATCCTGAGGTGAATATCTTCTTCATTGCAATGTTGTGTGGACAACACCAGAAAAAACGTGTGAAGCACTCAGCCCAACCTCAAAACTCCACCAATGAAATAGATGCAGGTGTCACCCGTATGATACATAGTAGGCACTCAGTAAAGTCTTTCTCTGCCTCCTTTTTCCCTCTGTTTTTCCCCAGCACAATCTAATAACTTAATGCTCATGCAAGCCTATGCATATTAAGAAAAATACTTCCTTTAAAGAAAATAGCTTAATTAGATAGTAATCCGTGAATGACAAATGACCACACATTTAATAGAACACATTTAAAGCTATACTCATCCTTTGATTGTTGTTATAGAGCAGATAAGAATGCTATATTTAAAAGGAAAATGAAAAAATAAAAAGGAACCAAATTAGACATTCAGTCAAGTCTGATTAATGGCTAATTCCAATGGAGATTTTAGCTGAGTATATATAAGATTCTTGAATCTCTGACTGCTAATGTACAGTGGTTTGGGGTGACCATTTTAAGAAGTCAAATGCATGATTCATTCAAAGTATACAGAGATTTTCTTTCTTAGTTTGGAAAGACAGAAAGTCGGGCACAATTCTGTTAATGCTATAAAACTGGTATGTTTCGCAGTAATGAATTTAGATATAGAAAACTATCTTTCTCTGGAATAAATTTAGCTTGCCTGTCATTTCTTCATTTTTTTTTCATTTCTTCAATATGAAGACCTTAGTTGGGAGTAGAATTAATCATGTGTTTAAAAATTACATCACTCTAAAAGACTTCCACTCATTCTACAAAAGGTAGTCTAGGTCATTTTTAAAAACTAATGCGTTCTCAAATAGGAAAAAGTGCAATAGGTTAATTTGAAAAGTATGAATAATTCAACACAGAATCACGTATTTCTTTTTACATATTTTCTTGTATAAAACTGTTGCTTTATCACTGTTAAGTAAACTCTCATTGGTGCATGTAACTTTCTGAGAGCTCTGATAGGAGATGCAACATTGTGTTTAGTGGAATAAAGTTAACAATGGAAGTTTAACACATTTGGAAGGAGCATGTGCAGACCTGTGTGTGTGTGTGTGTGTGTGTGTGTGTGTGTGTGTGTTTAGGAACTGACTTTTTCAGTTCACAGAGTAATATTCTCTGGTTTGGAGTGGTAGTTAGAAAATGTTGACAGTTGGGGCACCTGGGTGGCTCAGTGGGTTAAGTCTCAGGCTCTTGGTTTCTGCTTAGGTTGTGATCTCCCGCTTTGTAGGACTGAGCCAGGTTCCTTGTTCAGTGGGAAGTCTGCTTGAAGATTCTCTCCCCCCATCAAAATAAATAAATAAATCTTTAAAAAAGAGAGAGAGAAAATGTTGACAGTGAAAAATAACTGAACAGGATTTGTATGAAGTTCAGGGGATTTGCAGAGCTTGTATCTAAGAATTTGGTAGCGAGGGTGACAGCGCAGCCACTCTTTGTGTAATAAGATCGGCAAAAATAAAACAAGATTTACTCTAACTATAAGCTTAGGTAGTAAATTAAGCTCTGAACAGAAAATGAAATTGATAGACACTCCAAATCTATACAATCAACTCCTTAAATGTTGAACTTATTAAAGAGAACAGAAAAATAATGAAATTGAGAGCTGTCTTGTGCCTTCTAACTTCACTTCCTTTTATTCAGGGCTGACCCTAGCAGCATCTCAAGTCCGGCTAATTTTTTATCACTGAATCTTGTTTAACAGACACTCTTTTCAGAGAACGAGGTAGTCCGCCAGCTCAGCTACAGTTTGCCTCAGTTTTGCACATCCCTCCACTCAGCTAGGCTCGGCACATCATGGTATCACATCAGCCTGCATGGAATCAATTTAGGACACGACGCACTTCCTCAAAAATTAAATTCCTCACGAAAACTTAACAGGACCAACAAGAGCATCAGAAAAAGCATTTCGGGAAAAGTGCCAGAAGTTGAGCAAAAGTGAAGACCGAATTCTCGGTATCAGAGAGAAGGGGAGGAGGGTCAGATAGGAAGAGAAGCAAAAGGAAAAGCAGGGCAGGAGGAGAGACACGAAGGAGAGAAGGGATCTAAATTAGAACAAGAGGCTATGTTTATTAATAACCTTGCTGACCCACAGGCCCCTGACACAAAATACATTAAGTATTGTTGGGACACTCTGCTCTGTCGCTCCTAGGAGGAGCAACTAAAAATGTGTGGGAGGCTGCAAACTTTCTGAGCACAGATAAAAAAAGAGCCACCACCACCACCACCACCACAACAACAAAAAGCCAGAATACGGTGAAGGCACAGACTCACCAGCTTGAGCAGCCCGTAGCCTGAGATCTCCTTTATTTCCTGCAGCACCTTCTCTGGGCACGTCCGGCAAACTAGAATTGAAAACACGCAAGATGTTTTGTTTTTCTTGATTGCAAAAACAATAACGTGTCCATTGTAGGATGTTTGGAAATTATGGAAACACATGAAGAAGAAAATAAAAATAGACTATAGTCTCACCACTTCTTCCTCTACATTTTTTTTTTTTTTTTTTTTTAGAGATAGACAGCGAGTGGCTGAGCACAAGAAGGAGGGGAGGGACAGAAGGAGAGCGAGAGAGAATCTCAAGCAGACTCCCTGCTGGGCTGGGAGCCAGAGGTGGGGCTCAATCCCGCAACCCTGAGACCACAACCGGAGCTGATGTCAAGAGTCTGTGGCTTCACCCATTGAGCCACCCAGGTGCCCCTCCTCTACTTTTTTTTTTAATTTTTATTTATTTATGATAGTCACAGAGAGAGAGAGAGGCAGAGACATAGGCAGAGGGAGAAGCAGGCCCCATGCACTGGGACCCCGATGTGGGATTCGATCCCGGGTCTCCAGGATCGCGACCCTGGGCCAAAGGCAGGCGCCAAACCGCTGTGCCACCCAGGGATCCTGACCCTCCTCTACTTTTTTATGTGGATGTATTTGTATACTTGAAAAATAAGATTGAGGCCCTGCTATCATCCACTAGTGTGTGATTTGGTTTTCCCATCTGACAAGTCATAATAAGTATTTGCTCCTGTGTTGAAACTATTGTAAAACATTATTTTTATGTTGGCATTCTGCTTCCTTTATTTGTAGGTATCATGATTCAGTTGAGCTCTAGTCAGGTAATCATGTTATTTATTAACTTTTTGCCTTTATAAAAATCTTTGTGTGCATCTCCATTTCTTCTGGAAATTACTAGAAGCAAAATTCTTGAGTCAAAGAGAAGAGTTTTTTTTTTTTTGAAAAGATTTACAGAGCTGCCCTCCAAAGTGTTTATGCCAATTTATATTCCCACCTGTAGTGAATAAGAATGCAGAATTCACAAAGCATCATTAAGTCTCTCCAAATTAAGATAAGAAACTTTGAATCCTATTATGATTTATATTTTTTGATTATTTATGATACTTTCTTCATGTTTCTTGGCTATTTGGTTTGTTTTGTGAATATGCAGTTTGCCTATTATTTACACTTTTAGTTAAAAACTTACCAAATTGAGTTTCTGTTAAATTGTAAAACTTCTTTACATTTTAAGTTTATTAACTCTTTCGACTATCATGCCTGCAAGCCTATTGTCCATATTATCATTTGATTTTGAATTGTTAATGGATTTTTAAAAAAGATTTTATTTATTTATTAGACAGAAAGAGATTGAGAGAGAATGAGAGAGGAGCGGAAACAAAGAGGGAGAGAGAGAATCTCAAGTAGACATGAGGTTTGATAGCATGACCCTGAGATCATAACTTGAGCTGAAATCAGAAGTCAGATGCTTAATGGACTGAGCCACTCAGCTGCCCCAATAGATTTTTAATGTATATGTTTGTAAATCCAAGTACATAGATATTTTCCATTATTCTTTCTTCCTCTGCTTTTATTTTCAGAAAGGACTTGCACATTCCAGGGTTAGATAAATATTAATCTACATTTTTTACTTGTGCTTTTGTGGCTCTTTTTATTTTTAAAAGATGTTTAAATTTCTTATTTGTTTGGTCTGTGTAGTAAGAATCTATATACTGAAGCCTCTTTTCCTTACTTATCTAAATCTTGTATGTTATTGGGTCTGTTTCTGTATTTTTCAATTTTATTTATCTATCTTCATGTCTCCACTGCTTCTTCTGCCAAAACCCTCCCTTTTTATTATTACAATTTAAGACTATGTTTTCATACCCAATAACACAAGTTTGTCATCCTTACAATTAGTTTTCTGGATTATGTTTCCCTCTTTGTTATTCCGTAAGAACTCATCCAGTTCAAAATGTGAGTATACAATTTATACATTAATGTGAGGGCACTTGAAGTCCTTAATACTGCGTTTTCTGAGCTACAAGTAAAACATGCTTCTCATTTATCTTTTCCTACAAATTTCTGCCAAGTTGTTGTTTCTTCATGTAATATCTCAATATAGTCTCAAGTTTATTGATTGTCGTGAATACTGTTTCTCTCTTTTTTTAAAAGATTTATTTATTTATGATAGACATAGAGAGAGAGAGAGGCAGAGACACAGGAGGAGGGAGAAGCAGGCTCCATGCCGGGAGCCCGACGTGGGACTCGATCCTGGGACTCCAGGACC